TCTCTCAACTATAGTATCTTTCCACTGTACCTTTAGTATCAGTGTACAAAATATAACAAATTATCTGGTTTATTATTGTAATATATATTTTCATATTCTTTTCATTCGCAAGTGTTTTCTCTATGTCCTATTCACTGGCTCCCTCAGCCTGGCAGGTCTTCCTCATTAGCATCCCAAACTATAAGCACTGGTATTGTCATTTCCTTAAAAATTGCGCTGGGCTTCCAAGACCAAGGAGGGGTCTACTGGGAAGCAGAATCAGAATCTGGCTGTTTTTCTGTGAGACGAGAGAAGCTTAGGAATCTAAGGTTAACCCAAAACAGAGGAAAGAAAAGCAAACTATTTAGAGAAAATGAGTAACCCTGCGGCAAGCAAAGGTAAGCATTGCAACAGGGTGAATACTTTCACTGAATAGTCTCGACCAGCTTTCCAGCTCTCTTGCTAGAACCCTGTACAGGAAGCATACATCTAACAGGATCATCCTTTGCTTCACTCTTTGTATATTGTTGTCCATATCTCAAATATTGGTTTTATAAGAGTCCATTGCTTTAATATCGTTTTCTTTCTTCTTCTTCATTATTGTCTTCTATTCCACCTACATTATGTATGCTCCAATATTGTATTTTGCTCTGACTGTAGGCCCAGGGTTACATTTCTTGGTAATTGGATTGCATTTACCTTGCCCTGAGGGGTTCAAATGAATCATTTTCAACTTGACTCGTTGCGAGTTTCCTAACAGCTGGGTAGCACACACAGGACTTGTTCTACACCTCAAGGCCTGCTGTGATGGCTTCTAACTATGCTACCTTTGAGTGTTATGGCTTTGTGCTTTTGGTAAAGGGTGTACTTTAATTTCCTAAGTAATTGTTCTTATCCGTGGTTTTATATGCCTCTTCATTGGGCGTTTATAATGTTTGCTTAGCCAAAATTTTTCTCTCCTGCTTGGCAGGATTGTCTGTCAGTGGTATTTTGGATGGCTGGTTTTCCTTGTCCCAATTTTTTAATATATTACCATATTAATTTTTTATGTTCACGATTGAATTGTTAGGGCTTCCTCGTCTGTTTCAGTTCCTGATTATGTATGGTTATGGGTTTCAGTCGCCATCATCTTTCTGCCTGTTGATGCAGAGCTGTTCTCTTCAAGGTGTGGTGGTCCCAGCTGCTGAAGGGGCTCTTGTTCTTGCTCTTGGTTTTTACAAAACCCATCCTCTGCATCTTCTGTTATGGCCAGGTTTCAATATATTCCTTTGTTTATGCATTTTATCTCTGCTAGATGGTTTTCTGTGGGGTTTTGGCTTTTGCATCCCTGAGTTTCAGTGATGACGTGCTGGCTGTGGCTTTGAGCATAGCTGTTTCCTTTGGGGTTTTAATATCCACTTGGAAGCCCCTTTGAACCCTGTCTCCATCGGCAGGGGTGGGTTTTTGGGGCTTTTTGGATTTTATTTGGAGAGGTCCTAGATTTTTCTTTTCTCCCTCATTGTGTCCTTGTTTCATTTAGGCCTGAGGGTTTATTCTCTTGTGAGGCTTATTTTATCCTCTTTTACCCTGTCCATTGTGGGACCCTCCACTGCCCTTTTCTTTGGTGCATAGCTTGGTCCCAGGTTTGTGGCTCTGTTCTACTTTGTGCCAGGTTTCCATAATATCATCTCCCACTGTGGTTTTGGTTGGTGGAACTTGTGTTAAATCCTGCTTTGAAACCATGTCCATCTGGCGACATTCAGATGTCTTTACAGCTGTGGTGTTTACCTTTTGACAGTGTTTCTTTACCTTATTTTCCTTGAGGTTTATTAATTTCCTTTGATGCAGTTGCTCGTTTTAACACACTTGTAATTTTTGTGCTTTTTCTTAGTTTTGGTTGATTTTTAATTCCTGAGATTTCTTACCTTGTAGAGAGAATCAGATTCTGGTCCTGGTAGACTTAAGTGGGTGTCAGAGACCTGATGTGATTCCTTAACCCTTAGACAGCGGCTATGGAGAAATGGCCATACTCGTTTATGTATGAATATGTATAAACAAAAGGCTTTATAGAATTATTAATTTGTATACATAATATGAGAAAAATACGAAAATAATGAATATTTATCATTTCACTGGATGGAGGCGCTCTGTATGGCTGCGTCTGGCACTTGTCAATGCCTGGTGCTTGACTATGCTGACGCTACCTGTTTTATCCTCTGAAGTTTCACTGATTATTTTATCACTTGTTTTTCTTTATTTACATCCACAGAGAGCTTTTATGTCCATATTTGCATCACACATCTAAAACCCAGACAATAATTGTTTAAATCGTCATATGATAATGATCACATTCCCCCTAGACACATTCGTGGTGATAACCGCACTTGTACAATGAAATGGTAACAGGATTTTGTCATGGGTCAAAGTACACTCCATTACATCCACATAGACCTATTATATCCATATTTGCATCATACATCTAAAACCCCCACAATAATTTTGTAAATCTTCATATGATAACTGCATTACCCTGTGAATCAACAACTTACGATAACCACTGTCTAAGGGTTGAGACTTGGCAACTCCAGTGTTGCCAAATAAATATAAATAAAGTACCTCGAGAAGCTACTAAGTTGGTCCACTAGAAAAGGGCATTTCATTACATTCTATATTTTATTTTTTTAGCGTACTGTATTTCTCTATGAATTACTGTATTTTAATATTACTTTACTGTGATTCTCTGACATTCTCTAAATCTACACATTAATATAGCTATGTGATAATCAAGTAGAGTTCAGCGTCGAGAACTCTGACTAATATCTTGTCACAGGATTATATTTATCTTTCATGTTTTCTTCAGTGATGCCTTAATGTACAGTAGTTTATAGTATTTATATGGAGTGTCTTTATTCATCATTATTGTCTCAAAAATGTTCTTGCTCGTTGAGTAAAATTTTATGTACTATAGGATACTGCAATATTGGCTCTAGACCACATATAGCTAGCTTGAAAATTTATTGTTTAGATATGTGTTAAATTATTGTGATTTGTTAACATTTAACTTGTCAACATTTGCAAGGTTTGCAAGGCTATGGTGTGCTTGGGGAAAGTTGTAGCCACCATCTAACAATTGTTATAACTAATTATGATTTGCATTGTTATGAGTGTTTGCCTTGTCAGCATGAAAAATATGGTTCGCTTGTCTTATTCCATTGGGGGGGGGGGGCACTTGTGAAGATCCCTGGTGGCTCTTTTGTAACCTTATTCTGTGGGGAGCCCCTACGGCTTCCTGGAGCTTATCGGGCTAATGTATGTTATATTAGACCGGGACATTAGCTAAGGCGTTCAGACTTACCAGGGACCAGCGCCAGAACCTGGCCCCTTCAAAGAGGTTTCAGGGAGCAATGGCCCTGGAAAACCCCCTTGTGGTTGGGGTTTTCCTTATCTGCCATCAACCGGGGTTAGGCACCCAGAAAGGTAGGCATAACAAAACAAACCCCCACATGGTAAAAAAACTAAAACAAAAACCGAACAGAGAGGTAGAAACTCCCTACAATCCCAAGGAAACACTCGATCAATTTACTGCCGCGCCGGTCGTCCGCGCAGTCCTCCCCTCCCCAGGAGGGGGAGGGGGGCCCCCGGACCTCGCCACGCCGGCTGCCTTCAGTTCTTAAGCTAGTGTCAACCGGGATAAACGCTTCTCTGGCCTCAAATTCCTGGGTAGTGTTTGCCTCGTGTGGTGTGTGGTGGTCAGGAGTACTTCATCAGTGCCGGGGCTGCATGCGCTTGGGGGCTTCCTTCCCTAGACGCCCTGTGAGTACTGCCCCTGCATGTCGGGGTTATCTTCCCTGGGGCGTTCGGGAACCGCTCCCGTAGGGGTTCTTGCTGCTCGGCATTTGCCTCGCCCTTGGGGCCCTTGTTTGGCCTTGGGTAGGGAGTGGTATTGTGCTGGTTAGGGCGTCAAGGTGTTGCGCGACCTGCCACCTAAGAGGCGACCAGTTCCTGTTGCCTCTGGGGAGGTGTACTTTTGTGGGGTTTTGAGCCAGTTCCTCCTGCCGAGGCTTCTGGGTCCCACCAGCAGACCCCCCTTCTTGTCTGCCTTTCCCTTGGACTCAGCCTTTTCTTCAGGGGAAGAGGGTTTGGAGGACGGCTCTGCCCCAGGTCCCGACGTGGGGTATCCTGGGGCTGGGGGCCTTGGGCCCCCTTTGACCCCGCTTGGGTGCTTTTGCCTTCCTCGCGGGGCTTATTGTTGCAGGGGGAGGGATTTTCTTACCCCCCTTTCCCTGTATGAGTAAGATTTGGGTTCGGCTCCTCTCCGGGTTCGGTTCTAGGCACCTTTGGGTACCTCGGATCCGTCTTTGCAGTAAATTGATTGTTTCCTTGGGATTGTAGGGAGTTTCTACCTCTGTTCAGTTTTTTGTTGTAGTTATTTATCATGTGGGGTTTGTTTTGTTACGCCTACCTTTCTGGGTGCCTAACCCCGGTCGATGGCAGATAAGGAAAACCCCCCAACCATAATGGGGTTTTCCAGGGCCATTGCTCCCTAAAACCTCTCTAAAGGGGCCAGGTTCTGGCGCTGGTCCCTGGTAGGTCTGAACGCCTTAGCTAATGTCCCAGTCTAATATAACATACATTAGCCCGACAAGCTCCAGGGAGCCTCTGTGACTCGCCCAGAAAATGGCGTTTCATTACATTCAACACTGGTTTTTGTAACCTCTTTTGTAGCACAACTTCCCTAGACTCTTGGTAGCACCTTGGTAGGTGCCTGGTAAAACTTTTGTATGCTCCTAGTATCACTTTTCTAGGCTCCTGGTAGAACATTTATAATCTCTTGGGACAGTAGCACTTTCGTAGGCTTTTAGGAGCACATTTGAAGGCTCCGTCTAGCACTTTTGTAGGTCTTGTTAGAACTGTTATAGGTTATTGTTAGCACCTTTGTAGGCTTCTAGTAGAACTTTTGTGAATCTTTTTGAAGGAGAGAGAGAATAATAATTTTTTCTAAATTGGTAATACTACAGGAAAATTTTTTATTTACTGTGTAGGTCCGTATCGCCAACGGGAGGGGAATTTGTCCGCAGCACATCTCATTCTAGTTTTGACTCAAGATCTCTGCCCCGGCGTGCGCCATCAGCACCACCTACACAGAAACGGACGACTGTGCTTGATGAAGATAACAATCAGGTGAGCAATATTAAATACATAAAACACTCAAAACTCAAATCAGTTAGTAGATTCTTACAGTTTATATACACAGGCGATGAGTCACAATAACGTGGCTAAAGTATGTTGACCAGACCACACACTAGAAGGTAAAGGGCCGACGACGTTTCGGTCCGTCCTGGACCAATCTCAAGTCGATGGTCCAGGACGAACCGAAACGTCGTCGTCCTTTCACCTTCTAGTGTGTGGTCTGGTCAACAGCTTATATACACGTTGAATGTAGCCTAAAATGATTAATTTTCTTTGTTACTTGCACAATTATGAAATAGTAGTGTTACAGATTGTTCCAAAAACAGACAGAAAGCATGATTGGAAATTATTGTTGTTGGGGAAAAAATAATTCTTACCTATATACAGTGGAACTTTGGCTTATGATTGCCCCTATTTACAAATTTTTTGGGTTACGAGCTCAATTTCTTTGTAAAATTCGATTCGGTTTACGAGGTTTGCCACGAGTTGCGAGTTTGCCGATACACGTATGGGGTCAACCAAGCGCGTGGTTCCAGGTGGAATGGGTGACAGTGCCTCAGTTTAACAGTGCCTCCCACATAATGACAATTGCTCCTGAATTCTTTAAGAATTTCATTGTTTTCAGCTTTTTCCCAGAGCTATTCAGGCTGATATGGAGATATATATATATATTAGACTTTGGCATCAATGTGAATGGAGTTCCAAGTCTTCCGGGGACCATGAGCCAGAATCTGGGCCCCCCTCTGAGAGGCATTATGAGCAATGGCCTATAGAAATCCCTGTGTGGTTGGAAGCATTCTGTGTTTGCCATTGACCGGGTCAGGTATCCAGAAAGGTAAGCGCCCCAAACAAACCCCCCTATTCTGGTTAAGAAATTACTACTGAAAGCCGAACTAGTGGACAGAACTCTCCAAACGAAAACGAGCAAACGAGCATGACGTCACCACTGCGCAGCTCCCCCCTCCCTGGGAGGGGAAAAGGGGAGCCCTAAACCCTCAGTCCTGCTATCCACACCCCAGTTCTTTGGCTGATGTGACTGGTAATGGTCGTGTGACTCTGGCTCCTGATTTCCTATCCTCCAGCTCTGTTCCTTGTGGTGTGGCGCTGTTTCTTTGGTGGTGCATGAGCCAGGAGTAATTTCACAAGTACTCGGGCTGCATGCACCTTCCACAAGTCACCTTGGGATCTATCTCTGCTTGATCTTTTGCTGCTCGGTGATTGACCACCCTTAGTGTGCTGGGGTGTTTCATACACCCTTGTTTGCCTTTGGATAGGGGTAGTTTGCACTGATAGGGGCGCAGGGTACTGCACAGCTAGTTTTCACCTCTCATAGCGGCCAGCTCTGTTCTGCCTAGGTACGTTGTCCTCTTGCGGGAGTTTTTCTTTTGTCTAAGTTCTCTGGGAAACCCCGCGGGGGCACTTTGGTTCGATTGATGCATTCCCTCTTGCCTTGTGCAAGTTTGAAGGTTGCTCTGTCCCCTTTTCTCAGGGTTACATTCACCTCTTCTGCTTCTGTCATGCTGCCTGTTGGGTCGATGACACCTTCGACCCAGAGTCCTGCGAGTTTTGTTGCTTGTTTGTGTCTCGGTACAACCAGTCCACTTATGACTGTTCAGGTGCAGGCAGCTCAGGCATTGCATCAAAGTTTAGGTTGCTGCAATGTGCTAGGTTTGTTGCTGACTCGTTTTGGTTATTGGGACCCAAACTTGGGGGTGTTGGTCGCTTCGACCTTGGTTCAGTCTGCTCCGTCTTGTCCTTTCCCTGCTGTGGTTTGTTCTGGTTCCCCCCTTTCCCCACCCTGCTTCAGATTCCAAAACGTCTGAGCGTTTCGGAGTCGGGGCAGTTGGGTTGGAGACTCGAGCAGTCTCAGGGGATGCCCCTTCCAGGGTGGTGACAGAGGCACTCGAGCCTGTTCCTCCTGCCGAAGCGTACGGGTCTGATCAGTAAGCCCCTCCTTCCTTCCTGCTTTTATGGCTGCCTCGGCTTTTTCTTGAGAGACTGGGGCTTTGGCGAACGGCTTGGCTTGAGAGACTGGGGCTTTGGCGAACGGCTTGGCCCTGGGTCCTGCTGTGGAGATTCCTGGGGAGGGAGAGGCGCTGACTTGGGGGTCTTGGGTCCCATTGAACCCCGCTTGGGTTTTTGTGCCCTCTGAGCAGGGTTTACTGTTACAGGGGGTGGGGGTTTTCTTTTCCCACTGGCTCGTACGAGTTGGATTTGGTGTCAGCCCCTCCCCAGGTTCGGTTCCGTGTCCCTTCAGGTCTGTCGGTCTCGTCCTTCCTGAGGTTTTCGGCTTCCCGTTTCCCACCTCATGAGGTGTGGGAAACCATTATGGTTTACCTCCTGCACGACCCAGATTATGCCTCTATAATGGATCCTTCTTCATTCAGGTTTGGATCTTTCTTTCCTCACTAGGTTCGTTATGAGGTTTTGGAGTCGTCCAGGCTAGCAGCCTGTCCTATTTTCTTGTTGGAGGCTTGGCACATATTCTGTTGGTCCCGGACGCTGCAGTGACACGAGGCTGGGACAGTGGTCCAGGTTTACCTGCGGGGCGAATTTCAGCACCTCAGTTTCAACTGAACAACTGTTTACACTTTGGTGAATCTTAGTTGATGACAGTGGCTGTCATCAACTATGACAATGGCTGTCATCAACTATGACAGCTCGGTCTCGGTGATCGCTTGGAAGAACAATCCTCATTTAATCGAACATTTGTATGTTCCACTGAACATTTGATACCGAATTCAATTTGTTTGGCTCTTCCGGGAATTCGATAGAGCGGGGATCATTAGTGAGGAAGCTGTGTGTGTGTGTGTGTGTGTGTGTGTGTGTGTGTGTGTAATTACCTAAGTGTAATTACCTAAGTGTAGTTACAGGATGAGAGCTACGCTCGTGGTGTCCCGTCTTCCCAGCACTCTTTGTCATATAACGCTTTGAAACTACTGACGGTCTTGGCCTCCACCACCTTCTCACTTAACTTGTTCCAACCGTCTACCACTCTATTTGCGAAGGTGAATTTTCTTATATTTCTTCGGCATCTGTGTTTAGCTAGTTTAAATCTATGACCTCTTGTTCTTGAAGTTCCAGGTCTCAGGAAGTCTTCCCTGTCGATTTTATCAATTCCTGTTACTATTTTGTACGTAGTGATCATATCACCTCTTTTTCTTCTGTCTTCTAGTTTTGGCATATTTAATGCTTCTAACCTCTCCTCGTAGCTCTTGCCCTTCAGTTCTGGGAGCCACTTAGTAGCATGTCTTTGCACCTTTTCCAGTTTGTTGATGTGCTTCTTAAGATATGGGCACCACACAACAGCTGCATATTCTAGCTTTGGCCTAACAAAAGTCATGAACAATTTCTTTAGTATATCGCCATCCATGTATTTAAATGCAATTCTGAAGTTAGAAAGCATTGCATAGGCTCCTTGCACAATATTCTTTATGTGGTCCTCAGGTGATAGTTTTCTATCTAGAACCACTCCTAGATCTCTTTCTTTATCAGAATTCTTTAAAGATTTCTCACATAATATATAGGTTGTGTGGGGTCTATGTTCTCCTATTCCACATTCCATAACATGACATTTATTAACATTAAATTCCATTTGCCAAGTGGTGCTCCATATACTTATTTTGTCCAGGTCTTCTTGAAGGGCATGACAATCATCTAAATTTCTTATCCTTCCTATTATCTTAGCATCATCAGCAAACATGTTCATATAATTCTGTATACCAACTGGTAGATCATTTATGTACACAATAAACATCACTGGTGCAAGAACTGAACCCTGTGGTACTCCACTTGTGACATTTCTCCATTCCGATACATTGCCTCTGATTACTGCCCTCATTTTTCTATCAGTCAGAAAATTTTTCATCCATGATAGAAGCTTACCTGTCACCCCTCCAATATTTTCCAGTTTCCAGAACAACCTCTTATGTGGAACTCTGTCGAAAGCCTTTTTTAGGTCCAGATAGATGCAGTCAACCCAGCCATCTCTTTCCTGTAATATCTCTGTGGCCCGATCATAGAAACTGAGTAAATTCGATACACAGGATCTTCCTGATCGAAAACCATACTGTCTGTCTGATATTATATCATTTCTCTCCAGGTGTTCTACCCATTTAGTTTTGATTAGCTTTTCCAATACTTTCACTATGTGTGTGTGTGTGTGTGTGTGTGTGTGTGTGTGTGTGTGTGTGTGTGTGTATATGTATATGTATATGTATATATATAAAATACTTTATGTATGCATGTGTTAGTGTTTGTGTGTCCCTAATTGGTGCAATGTAATATGTTACTTAGTTTGGTTTGTATATTTAAGTGGGTTAGCTCTCTGAGCCCATATCACTTCATTGATGGTCTTCTGATGACTGTTTTAGGGACATAGTTGTTTGTCACTTGCACTGGGCAAGTTAGTCAGTTCCTCATTGTATGTGTTGGTTTTGGACCATATCTGTATCATCACAGCATGAATATTGGTGAGGGGACTGGTCAGTTTATTTATACTTCACTGGGACTTCGAGATTTTTCTTTTTTTTCTGGTCTGACAGGTTTGAGGTACTACTACTACTACTATTGTATTTCTTCCTTGGCATTCAGGGCTCCTCTTCATACCTATTGTCAAAGTTACAGGAACTAGTGACCTGTCCTAGGTCTGTGTGGCCTATTGTTCTATGTCCCTGTTATTGGGCACGTTCTGGCTCAAAACTATGAAGATTATGAGAACTCTGCCTGGTGCAGCATGACCATATAATATCCAGATTTTATTTTACTTGAACGAATGTCTCATCTTTTTCTAGTGTTTCCCTGTTGAATTCAGGGTTGATTTCACCCTCACTCTTGTGGAATCTGTTATGCTTGTGTGGCCGCTGTTCATATCTCTATGGTGGCAGGTGGCTTGGGGAGATGGTATCAAGCTGGGTGCTTACACATAGAATGGGTGTAAATGGTACTACCTAGAAAGATACTTTTTATTTATTACTTAGTTGTATTTTAATGGCAAGCCAGTGTTTAGTTGAAGTCGGTATTTATGAATAGATTGTCGTATAGTTTTTAAAATATTTGTCCCATTCTCAGGTTGAACGAGAATGGGAGTTGCATGGTGGTCACATCCAACATTCATTCAGTGGGGAAGGTGGGGATCTGTCTGATGGTGATGCAGAAGATGCAGACTCCTTGTTCTCCCACATAGATATGATCTCACCATCACATCAAACTGATGCTCAGACTCTGGCAATCATGTTACAAGAACAGCTGGATGCCATTAACAATGAAATAAGGTAAGGGTTTATAATAATCATCCTGTCATTTCTTGTTATCTCTTCTTTTCTCCTGTATAGTCTGTTTTGAAATTTGTTCTCGGTTACTTGAGATTATCATAGAGCAGATACTATAATTTGTCCCTTTGTAGACAGCTTTAATTGTGGCCGATATCATTTGGCATTGGCTCATGCCTATTATGAACTGATTATCCTTATGAAAACTTCCAGGTGAATGAAAATGACAAAAGACATAACTGTATGTGCACGTAACCCAGCCCCTTGCATATTCGATCCCAAACACTGTCCAGGAGCATCAGTTTCAAGTCAGTCCACAAGCATCATATCACATCTAGTGAACAGCCCCTATTTTCATGTTTTGGTGGACATTACCTTCAAATGCAGACTATGAGTCACAATAACGTGGCTAAAGATAGGCTGACCAAACCACACACCTGAAGATGGAGAAACGTGTGTGTGTATGTATGGGGTCCGCACATGACTTGATAATGGTCCAGGATGGACTGAAACGGTGTTGTTTCTCCATCTTCTGGTGGGGGATTTGGTCAGCATTACCTTCAAAACCAATGCCTAAAAAAGTATCCTTCTGATTTTAGTATATGCATTGGTTTGTATGTTTTTTATTTTTGGGATTTTGAGATTTTTGCTGATGTTAGGAGTCTTTACAGATTTTTATTCTTTTGAGGGTTTATTCCTCTTGATGTATTCCTCCTAGATTCAACAGATCAGAGTATATATATGGGAAAATAATCATCTCTGCCTACTAGAAAGACCTACCATTTTTATTTCTGGAGGGGCCGAACGGTGGCTTCCTGTAGCTAGCCACATTGAGATAGCTTAATACATATAAGGCACATCAGCCCTAGGAGTCAGAGATTCATTAACACCCTCACCGAAGAAATACATCCCCAGAAAGGATGCGAAGTAAAACAGACAGCTGCAAGGTTCACAGAAAGTAAACAGTGTAGCAAACAACTTAGCAAATGATCATCTCTTCCCCCTCCAGTAGTTAGGACACCCCCATTAGTTACAGCTGGTCACTGTCAGGTAGCAGCACCATGGAACCTGACAGCTTCCTATGTCAATAATCATCAGTCCTTTTCCTGATGTCAATCTTGTCTTGGCATAAATCTTCAGTTGCCACCTCTTCAGGTCCCAGATATTCTAGATAAGTGTTGGCCATCCTTTGGACTCTGTAATGTGGGGGTCCATTTACTTCAGAGCAGGAGAGATTGCTGAAATAGAGGGAGTACAGAGAACATACACAGCATACATAGATGCAATAAAGCACCTAAACTATTGGGATCATCTCAGAGCTCTCCAAATGTACTCACTAGAAAGGAGACAAGAGAAATATCAAATAATATACACGTGGAAAATACTGGAGGGCCAGATCCCAAATCTACACAGTAAAATAACATAGTGGAGGGAAAGATATGGAAGGAAATGCAGAAGAGGAGCAGATGTGCCATAGGCACAATCAGAGGATGCTGTATAAACATCAGAGGTCCATGGTTCTTCAACATCCTCCCAGCAAGCATAAGAAATATTGCCGGAACAACCGTGGACATCTTCAAGAGAAAACTGGATAGTTTTCCTAAAGACGTGCCAGACTAACTGGGCTGTGGTGGATATTTGCCATAGATATGTGGATATGTGCCATATGTGCCACTCCAAGCAACAGCCTTTTGGACCAAGCTCTCACAACTCAAGCCTGGCCCTGGACTGGGCTTGGAGTAGAAAAACTCCCAGAACCTCATCCAGGTACAGGGTCTGGCTCGATGGTTTGTTCTGTTTCTCCCAGTTCCACCCATTTCACCACCAGTGGGATTGTCAGGTATGAGCTTCACTTGCTCTTTGCAACTGTTAGTTCACTTGTTTCTTCAGGTTTTTTTGGATTCGGTTCTGTGACTCCTTCCTTTCCCATCATTTGCCCCATCATTTGATATGTAAATGGCTGCCTCAGCCTTGGGCTACAGTTTTGTGACTAGCAATTACCAAACTTCCCCAGGACTTTGGGTGAGTTCCCTCCTATGTGTGTACAATAATGTTTATGAATTTATGGCAGTGTGGCAGACCCTACTGTGGGTTCATCTACCTTTGGGCTTTGCTCTCCAGCTCCATTTTGACTTCTCTCCAGTGGTTCATTATTCATTATGTAAATCACAAGGTTCATTTCAATGTTTTCTTCCATAGAGTTGAAATCTGTAAGTTGCAAGTCTTCTAGATTCTTGGGATTTGGCTCTTCACACACTTTTCATGCGGGGTGTTTAACATTCTCACGGACAGTCTCTCTCTAGTTCTGTCCCATTTTTATTGAGTGGACTGTTGAGAATATTTCTTTTCATTGGCTCTGTGAGATGTTCAGGGTGCCCTGGGATAGACCTCTTCATGTTGGTTTGGAACTTTTGGCTTCAGTCTTACATGTCTCCTTTTCCCGATTGCAAGGCTCTCGCAGTAGATGCCTTTCTGCTGAACTGGTCAAGGTGGGGGTTCTTTCTTTTCTCTCCAGTTCAACTGTAACTCCAGGTTTTTTCTAGTTTGAAGACTTACACTGACAGGATGATCTTTCTGGCTCCTCGCTGGCTGGCTTATCCAAACCTGGGTATCTTTGCATGGCTCTGCATCCGAGTCAGCTTAGTTCGGTTGACGGAGCTCTTGGTCTCTCGCCTAAGTCCTTCATTGCACGGGCAGTGTGAGCTTTCTTGGTGCTCTTTTTATCTTTGTCTCTCTTCATTGTTTGTCATCTAACTCGGTTTCGATGATTCTGACCCCCCTTGTCCTGGTTGTTTGATGATCAGCATCATATGCTGAATATTGTTGCCTCCTTTTGTTTTGCTTTAAAGAAGCGGCATTTGTTTGGATTTTAAGAAGCAGTTTTTGTTTGCATGTAGCAGTATTCCTCTACAACAACCATTTTGTGGATTGTCTCGTCCATTTTTCTTCCCCTTTCCTCTTCTTTCTCCTCCTTTGCTGTCTTTGTTTCTGGGTATGGTGTTGGTATTAATTTACCTCCTCAATTCTTGGTCACCCCTTATTCAAGACTTTGATTTTGTTGAGTGTTGCTTCCAGATGTGGAGTTGAGTAGCTTCCTGCTCTGCTCTGCTCCAAAAAGGGAGGCTTTGTTTTTTCAGCCCTGGTGAGCAGTTTCTTTATTTGTAGATTTCTCCTTCTTTACTGGGATCATTGGCTATGTCTGGTTGTGGCTCTTTGTCGCTACCAACATACAACCTGGGCTTTTCAGGGAAGGCGTTTGTTGATCTTGTCTACTTGGTCCTCTGTTCCAAAGTTCTTTGGTCTCGGGTTATTCTCAATGTCATTAAGTCTAGCCAGCTTGCTGCCTTCTCCTCAGGCCCATGTTGTTTGGAAATTTGTGCACTGTCTTGTCTAATACATCTTGGGCTATATTCTGGGCTTTGGATTTTGGAGGTCTAATGTGGTCGTGGCGGCTCATTAAAAGATCAGTGTCCCTGGTCCCCATCGTGATTGTTATCCTGGCTGAGGGTTCCTGTCTTGGTTACTTCTCTTTGTGGGTTTGATCCTTTGCTCTCCTCCTCCCTTGGCAAATCCAGTTTTTCCTTTTCTCTATGGTTAATTAGCTATAAGAAGCCACTGTTTATCCCCCCTCCTGAAAACCAGCATTGAATGATATGAAATGACATATCTCTCTCTTTGAAGGGGGGTCCTCAGTGGCTCCCTCCCCACTCTACCTATCGAGTTGATTGGCTCCTTGTGGCTCAGGACTGATTGTTGACTTGAGGAGCCGGCAGCTCCTCATGGTGCTGCCACCTGGCAGTCGCCAGCTGTAACTAGTGACGGGGGGGGGGGGGGATCATTTGCTGACTTGTTTGCTGTATTATTTAATTTTGTTAACCTTGCAGTTGTTTGTCTTGCTTCACTGTCTTTCTGGCTATTTTTCTTCAATGAGTTTTTTTTTCTTTATGTATTTATTTTATTTATTTTAGTTTATTTATTTATATATGTACGAGTTCTTACATTCTTGTAAAGCCAGTAGAGTAACATGCATAGAATTTTGGGCAGGTCCTTTAATTTTAATTTTCCCTGGAACACGCCCTGCCAAAATGTTTAACAACCAGGTACCCATTCACTGCTGAGTGAACAGTGGCATACAGTTAAGGACTGGCACCCAGTCAATCCTCCCCAGCCAGGATACGAACCTGGTGTTCATGAGTCCCCTGCTCCCTGCATCTCTGTGAGGGAAAGGGGCCAGGGTTTTGGCGTCTATTCTCCAGTAGTCTATTAAGGACTGCTATGGTTGAGGTAAGTAGCTATCTCAGCGCAGGTAGCAGCAGAGAGCCACCAAGGCCCCCCTACCCCCAGAAAGAGGCATTCCATTACAGTCAATGCTGGGTTTTAATTTGTGCTATAATATTTTTGATCTTCTTCAAAGCAGATCAAAAATTATATTACACAAATGGCAGTATTCAGACACAGTATTCAATTGTTATTTTTCTATTAATATTTTTAGCAAGACTTTGTTGTTTACAAGTCATAAATATGTTTCTGAAACTACACCACTCATTTGCTGTTTTAGGCAATGTCCTGCTCTGCCCAAGGACTTGACGAAACAACAGCTAGGTCAGCTTGACAATTAGTGTACTCTGTTAAATCAGGGATATTTTCAAGTATTCCATTGGGGTATAGTGAAAAAGGAAGTCACTGCCAAACACATGTATATATATTTCCAGCCCTAAATGACCTCAAATGAGTTCATTTATCTGCAAATAAACCTCTCTCCAAGTGATATTCGACCTGAGTAAGATTGCCAGGTATCACTGCTAAATTCTTGTTGGCCCAATTGGCCGCTTCCCGAGACTGCCACCAGATGTCAGGATCTACAGTATAAACATTGTAGCATGAAGCAGCTTGTCTCATAATTATCGTGGCTTATTTCCTGGCCAACACCCTACACTGGGCAGAGACCTCTTCATTCAATAAAGTGCTTGAGTTTATTCTTGAAAACTCTTGTTTCATGTGCA